ATCATTCGAGATACACACTTTTCGTCTGCCTTTGAGAGAAATACTTAGGGTTTTCTTCTTCTGGCTCTCTTGGCTCAAATCTCTGATTTGAGGCTGTAAATCGTGAGAGTTTTGACTTTGATTGTGATATTCTGTGTGAACTAAGGTTCTATTTGAGTTGTGTATTGAGCGGGTTACTGTGGAGTTTCTTGGGTGATCGTTCTAGATCTGTTCATGTATTTGAGAGATAAGTGTTCTATCTTTATCTTTTGTACTGTTTGAATGATTTGTAACCTTCGTTGCCAATTTGGGCTGTATAGTGCAACCGAGCATTATCCAACTTGTTGGATGCTCAACGGAGCATGTAGGCGTTGGAAGTGGTCACCGAACCTCCGGGGCTTAGGCCGAAACAATTCTTGTGTTGATTCTTTAATTTTCTGCACTTTATATTTTCAGTTCTTTAGTTTAATATCGTGTGTCCTGGCCTTACTAGCTAAATCCAACCCTTTTTTTTCTTCTATTCATTGTTCTTTGATCTCGTATGATTGGGGGTTCTCACAACAGGAAATGCTGCTGTTATCTTCTATTCTTCTTGTTGAGAGGTGACGGAATATTGAATTAATTAATAAATGAATGAAACAGATCTTATTTTGATATTTATAGCGTAGTTTGATGGAAAGAGGGATTATGGTAATGACACGAATTCCTTTGTTTTCGTGTCATATAATGGATCATCTTCAAAATGAGCTTCATGCACCTTTTCCTCCTCCTCATTGAGAGATCTCGATGCGGTGACAATGTCAATAGGAAATGTCGATCTTGTTTAAGTCGCAAGCAATCGCCTTTCGATTCCTATTCAATTGCTTCCGAGGCATTCTCCGAACGCCCACAAATTCATTTTCCCTGGAATTCAATTATGTGATTCTTGGGGTCCTATATCTTCTCATTGTTGTTTCTACTTGGTGTTTTCTTTACTTTTACTGTTTCTGCTTCTGCTGTTTGGTGTAGGTGGTGGTGGTTGTTGTTGTGGTTGTGGTCGTTTACCGGAATGAGTTCAAGTGCAGCCTTTGAGTTGCCTCATTTTGGTAATGGAAATAGTTGTTTTTCTGTATGTTATGGTGGAAACGATAAGCCTCCTGACTACGAGGATGATTGTGTGGAGAAATGTCCAAGGGGTCAATATGTTCTTCATTTCTTTTTTCCTTTTCACAATTCCTGGAATTACATAGATGTTTTATTTTGAAGTATCTGTTGTTTATTCTGTTAGTTTCATGACGATGGAGGAGTTTATGTGAAGCCATGTGATTGTATTCATGATCTCTGATATATTATCGAACAGAGCTATGAGCACATGCAGGTCATGCAACTTCGATATTGATTCAATTCAGCTGCAATTAGTTTACCTATGTCACTGCTTATTTCTAATATAGTGATGGAAATACAAATTTTTGATCTGTATAATTTGGACAGATTTTTGCTGGAAATGTTACTGTATTCAATATTAAAACATCAGAGTAGGGTGCTGAAATAATTGAAAACTATGAGCTCATTCTCACGCTGCAAATACAATTGTGGATTTAAGTTTATCATTTTCTCAGTTGTACCATAGTTCTTGAAACATCAATTGATAATCTCTTACAATGTAATTGTTTCTTTTTTTTTTTTAGGAGTTATGATGCTCTTGAAATTCGTTTCTACTTTTATTCACGTATATCCAATGGACTTTTGTTTTCTTTTGCAGTACAACAAAGTCTTAGGAAAGGGTGCCATCAAGACTGCGTGTGGATTTAAAATTTGATCTTTCTTTTGCCTGTCCAATTCAATGTTGACCATTAAAACTGGTATACAAAATTCATGAATTCGGAGTTTTACTTTCTATAGCTACAAGGCATTTGACCAACTTGATGGAATAAAAGTGGCATGGAACCAAGTGAAAATCAATGATGTGTTGCATGCACCAGAAGATCTGGAAAAGTTGTACTCTGAAGTTCATATTCTTAGACAATTGAAACATGACAATATCATCAAGTCTTATGATTCATGGATTGATGATAAGAAGAAGACTTTTAACATGATTACTGAACTTTTTACATCTGAGAGCCAAGGCAGTGAGTTATTTTGCTTGTTACTCGTTTATTGTTCAGGAATTTTGGTGCCCTTATTATGATTTTGTTATTTACTAATCTATGCTTTGTATACGTTGGCTGTTAAGAAGCGCACAAAAATGTTGACATGAAAGCTATAAAGATGAGGCAAATTCTCCAAGGTTTAGACTATCATCTATCTTCATCCACAAGGACTTGAAATTTAA